CCGCCTTGAGGCCCTCAGTGAGGGATGGAGGTCACGGAACTTGAGTCCATCTTTGAACACGTCCTAACTCCCAATCCTGGGCCCACCCCCAAGCCAATGCTAGCCCTCACATGTCCTTGCCTTTGAGGGGTGCCCAGGACAATGGAAACACCGAGGTCACACCTCATGTCTACACTCAGCCACTTGCAACAGGTCCTACAACAAAGGCCTCGCCAGGGCCGGGGAGCTGGAGGGAACAGGGGAAGCTGAAGTGCTGTCACCCCCAACTCACCAGGATCCCTGTGATGTTATAAGATGGCAGCCAACAGTAGGTAGGACAGGGAATGCCCAGCTTGAGGCTGTGCCAGGCACAGAGGGTCACCAGGGTGGTCCCTTGCTCCTCTGCCAGCCTCCTGTGGGTCCAGTGCTTGCCCTCCTGCCCCCACTGGTGAGTGGCAGTATCCATGCTAACCCCATTCAGAGCACTGTCCCTCAACCACCCCTCTCCTCTATGATGACGTCTGGACCACCCGGGGCAGGGCTGGGGGAGGCGAACAGGGGGAGATGCTGCCAGGGATGCAGATTCCAGAGGCCTGAGGGCTCCAGGCCTGCACCACCACTGGCGGGGCCTGTGTCTGGGGCCTGACAAGCTCCTGCCCACCCGGGCGGCAGCTGGAGCCCCTCTTCACCTGTGCTGCACATGGGAACTCCCTCTTCCCCTCTTCCCCCCTGGCAAGGCCAGAGGCCAGAGGAGGCCGGCTTCCAAAGGAACCCAGGCTCCTCCCCCTCACAGACTTGCACACCTGTCCCATTTGCCTTGGCAGGGGCATGGGGAGGTACTGGAGCTGTGAGCAGTCCCCAGCCTCAGCCAGCAGGGAGCAGGACAGACCTGGAGCCAGCCCAACCAGATGCCACTGTAGCTCGGGGCCAGACTCCAGGGAAAGATGAGTTTAGTGGAGCCTGGACTGAGAGAGGGATGGGGCCATGCCCAAGGCACCCAGCTGCCCCCAGGCACGCTCCTAGCACCCTCTCGGACCCAAAGATTCCTCCCTCTCCCGGAATGGTCCAAGTGCTGTCACCTGCTCCATCAGGGGCACAGGTGCTCCTCAAGGCGGCTGTGAGGGTGTGCCGGCCCCCAGTAGGGAGGAGTGGAGGCTTGGCAGGAGGGTGGCCAATTGGGGGACAGGAGAAAGGATGCCCGCACTTTATAGTCCGGGGTGGGGGTGGGGGTGGTGTCAGCTGACCTGGGTGAGGCACTGGTTCAGCTGAGGCCTCACCTCCACTCACCGTGGTTCAGGGAGAAGGCGGTGGCACTGACATATGCAAGTCACTCCCAGCTGGAGATCACACCTCTGGGTCCCGCTCAGGAGCGACACTTGCTGGCTGGTGACTGAGCAGGGCTCCCTTTCCCAGCTGGCAAAGGGGTGGGGGTGAATGCGGCTGGGCCAGGCGTCTCCCACGGCCTTTCCTGAGCGACAGCCACACGCAGCTCTCTGCCAGCCGTGACTCTCCAGGAGGCTGTGAACGAAAATGTTCCGAAGCCATTGATTAGGGGGGTCCTTAGAAAGCACGCGGCTCAGATTTCGCCCACGCGGAGGCGCTGCTGGCCCACCCACAGGTCGCCAGCGGCAGGAGGGGCGGAATGGGGATAGAACGGGGGAGGCGGGGTCCCAGGCTGCTGCTGCCCCTCCACCCAACTCGCTTGCCCGAGCCTCCACCATCTAGGCTTCCCGGCCAGCAGCCTGGGGGTGGCGGGGCCGGGAGAGAGTGAGGAGCTCGACGGAGAGGGCGGGGCTCGGATGGGGGCGGGGCCTGGGGACGGGCGGGGCGGGGTTAGGGTTGAGGGAGGGGCGGGGTCTGATGGCGGGCGGGGGCGGAGTTATAATTGGGGCGGGGCTCCTTGCCTTGTGGGCGGGGTCCGGGCTGCCCAGTCCGCAGGTTGCGTTCCTCTGCGCGGCTCCACTCTTCCGGCCCCGCGCGACGCCCGCCCCCTCCACCTTCCGCCCGGCGCGGGCTACGGCGTGACGGTCGCGGCGTTTCAGCGTCTCGTGGCCTCTGCGGCGCCCGAGCCCGCGATGTCGGGCCCCAATATGGGAATGCCGGTGGTACCGAGCACGGAAGACGAGGATGACAGCTTCGGGGAAGCAGGTGACGCGGGGGGACTGCTGAGCGACCGTTGCTTTCTCCGGGTACCTTCCAGGGGAGGGGGGCGGCCCGCATAGGGATGTGGAAGGAAGGAGCCCTCTCATCTCCCGCTCCTGGGTGGGTTGCAGGTTCCTGGCACCTGCCAGTGGGTCTCTGGGAACCCCAGCATTCGAGAACTGTGGGCAGCAGGCCCCATTTTGCAGAAACTGAGGCCGCTGCAGAGACACCCGCGCTTTGGGGGTTTGCTCCAGTGCTGAGCTCGGCCCCTGTGGGGACGGCGGGCCGCTCTGGCCCAGCCCAAGGGCCGTTCGGGTGGGCGCGCGCCTTGCTAAGTCAGCAGCCCCAGCCATCTTTTCTGGTGCGGCCTGGAGCCCTGAATGTGACTTGTTTACAAAGCAGCCTGTGGTGTGCACGGCACTGCGGTGGATGGAAGGTGGGTGAGGTGTGGAGAGAGAACCGTCAGCTCCCTTCTGACCCTCGGAAGCCTGTTTCCTCATCTGTAAAATAACAGTGATTAATCCCTCAGGCATTGAGATGTGTCAGGATTGAATGGGAAAATGAATGAGAAATACTCAGTAGGTTCCAAAATGCAAGTGTTCAGTAAACGGTTATTATTATTCTCTTTAGTGTAATAAAGATTGGGCTATTAGAGTGCAGGACTTAGTAAATGTAGGTGTTGAGTCTGCGTTTTGTTTTGGGAACAGCTTTATTGAGCTATAATTCACATACTATACAACTCATCCATTCAAATTGTACGATTCAGTGGGTTTCACAGTATCCAGAGTGTGCATCCATCACCTCAATAGTTTTATTTTTTTAATATTTTTTTATTGATTTCAGAGAGGAAGGGAGAGGGAGAGAGATAGAAGACTCAATGATGAGAAAGAATCATTGATCGGCTGCCTCCTGCACACCCCCTACTGGGGATCAAGCCTGCAACCTGGGCATGTGCCCTTAACTGGAATCGAACCCAGGACCCTTCAGCCTGCAGGCTGACGCTCTATCCACTGAGCCACACCAGCGAGGGCATCACCTCAATAGTTTTACAACACTCCCATCACCCAGGGCCTGCGTTTAATAGAGGTAGACCTCCCACGGGAAGCGTGGTGAGCTGGCCGCTTTGCCCTGAACGGTGGCCAGAAGTGTGTTAAGCTGCATCAGGACGGGCCTCCCAGGAGTCACATTGAGTGGTCGCCGGCCAGTTCACAGCACTGAGCACCGTGGGGAGGAGGGAGGCACCCTTGACACGGATAGAGCCCGGCCCCCGTGTTGTGGAGACACCGCCTCCCCCATCCCTCCCTGGCTGTGTCTCTCGACACAGAATGTGCAACGTTGATAATAATGACCAAGTGTTAAGTACTTGCTGCGGCCAGACCCTGTCTGAGTTCTTGATATACTTGAGTCCTCACAGCCACCAGGACTGTCTCTCCCTTTTCCAGAAAGGTTGCAGCAACTTCCTGGGATGCAGAGCTGGGGCTGAAGCCCAGGTGCCCCACTTCCCAGGTCTGCGTCTTGGCTCTGGCCTCCGACGAGCTGGAGGACCCTGCGCAGGTCCTTTCCTTCCTGGCCTCAGTTTCCCCACCTGTACCACAAGGTGGCTGGACTGTAAAGCCCAGCAGAGACTTCCCAGGCCTCTGGCCTCTGAGGTGTGCCAGCTCTGGGTGATGGGCGCTCTTCCTCCAGAATGCAGACACATTTGCATCCATATCCCAGACACCCTCCAGCGCTGGCCTTTTCCAAACACTGCCAGCCACTTCCCCTTGGTCCCAAGCTGGCAGCAGAGTGTATCTGAGTCATAGGCTGGCTCAGAACCGGCTCCCGCAGTGGGCACGGGCCCAGCCCTTGGGCCCTAAGGGACATTGTGCTGCTGGGTGCAGGTCAGGAGTGGTTGGGGAGGAGGGAGTGATGACTTCTGGTGGAGATCAGGGAAGGCTTCTCAGAAGAGGTGTTTTGAGCTAGTTGTTAAATGGCTGTTGTATTCTGCGTGGCAGGGACAGTCGAGTAAAGGCAGAAGAACTGGAAAGTTAGAGGCTTCATTCATTCATCTATTCATTCACTCACTCAACAAATGTTCATTGTGTGTCGGTGAGGGCCTCGGGGAAACGGCAGTGAACACTTCTCACGGAGCTCTATGGTCTGGTCGGGGAGGAGACCAGCACAGATGATCACATCCGGAGGGAGGGCCCTGAGGTGTGCAGAAGGGGATCGGGCATAGAGGCCTGATCTCGTCTGGGGTGCTGGGAGGGCTCCCTGTGGTGACACCCGTGCTGAGACTTGAAACATGAGTAGGACTCATCCAGGAGAGGAGGGAGGGAGACAGGAGGGGGGACGGTGCATCCTAGGCAGAGGCAACAGCGTGTTCAAGGGGCCTGAGGTGGGCAAAGGCAGATGTGAGAGAGGTGAGTGGGGTCTTGGAATCTGGGTGCCTTATCG